TTGATCAACTACGTGGGTCCAATCCAGTTTGTTAGTCATTTCGGTCAACTACCTTCTTGACAAAGTCATTTCTTACTACTGGTCACTCGGCCGGTCCGATCCCCCCATGCTCAGATTGGGCTGCTGCCTTTTTTTTTTTAAAAAAAAAAAATTATTTACTCGTGAAATTTAATCAAGAATAAGTTATCAAGAATAAAAACAAAATTTGATGAGTTTGTTTGGATTGTTATCTTGTGAAGTTTTTATAGAAAAATGTACTGTAATAATTTTATACATATAAAATAAAAAATGTGTTTATAGAAAATATAAAAAATTTTTGGAGAGAAATCTCAATCCAAACAATAATTTTGATGTTATAAATGATAAATTCTTGCACAAATTTAAGTATTTTAAAATGTGGAACACAGATTATAATCATTTGCCATTTGATTAGAAAAGAGTTCATTTACATGGACAGTTAATTGTAATTTAGATTTTTTGACAAGCATCCAACGAATGCACATTGGAGAAATCCTTTCGAAAGAGACCGATTGAGCAAGTTCAACGAACCTTTTATTGTTTCTTATCATAAAATTGGGTGGCAATCGTTATTTTCAATATGATATTGTAAATTGTAATTTAAAGATGTTTCATCAATGATAATTGAGATCTTGGACTAATTTTCGTAAAGTAATAAGTAACGGATTAATTTTATATACACTGACAGTATACTATCATCATTCATTACATAACAACTAATATAAATTTAAATTTTATATACGTAGTGTATATAAAATTGATTGATAAGTACTGCTCCCCGCGATTCAAAAGTGAACATAACATCTTTGTGTATACTTTAAATACATGATTTTTTTTTCCCCGAAACGATAGAAATTACTTTAAATACATGATTACTGAATACAAAATGTAACCTATAGTTCCTGAATACATGATTACTGTCCATAAGGATTGCTAGGATTCGTACTTGATGCAAGTTGATGCAGATTAATCCCCCTTCGACAACTGTATTTGTAGTGAGTTTCCTTGTCTATTTTGGAAAAGCTAGGACCGTTGTCCACTTTTATGCCGTCTCTTTGCCGGTAAAGATGAATGAACGAGTGAGTGACGTACACGTTCATTGATGTGATTACATAAGTGCTACATGTGGCAGGTTGGTAACAGTTGTTCAAATTGTTCGCTTCAAAAAGTAGAAGAATACTTGCCAGACAATGGGTTTAACCCAGACAGATGCGTCAATGCTTTTCCAGTGCCTCACTCCTCGAACTTGCAGAGTACAAAAACGTCAAATAGCACAAAAACGTCAGATTAGTGGTAAAGATCCGTCCAGAAATTCGGCGTGTACATTTATTACTTGGCACCGCATCTAGCTCCTAAACTAATTGCCAAATGACACAAAAACGTAGAAGGCCGCTGAAGTCTACTATAATTCCATCAAATTGTCACACCCCTTTTCTGTCAGAAGCATATGCAGAGTAGCAGCTCTCTCAGTCAACCCAACTTCCACAAAACCCCCAAGAATTCTGTTGCAGATGGTGCTATCAAAATCTGTAGTTGTCGATTGCTTCCACTGATCAATGATATCTCTCACCTCTTTCAAGTGCCCAAGAATCAAATAGGATGAAATTATGCACGCATAGTTTCGACCAATCATTTTTTGCTTCGTCAATATCAAAGACTTCCAAATCTGATCAAGTTTATCTTTGTTTCCTAAGCCTCCATACAGGATAATTAGGAAGTCATAAGTTATCCATTCTCTCTGTGTGATACCCTTCTCGCTTTCGACTAGAGAGTTGAAATCACAGTTCACAAGGTGACCTGAGCTAATGTAAACCTTTACAAGGTTCACATACCTCAACCAACTTTCACTAAAACCAGATTGAATCCTCATTTCATCAAGAATGTGTCTCGCCTCATCAATGTTGAGGCCTGCAGCAGATGAACTTACTAACAGATTATAAGTAAATAGGTCCGGTGCAACCTTCTGTCGCTTCATTTCTTCTGCAATAAAGGGAATCTTCTCCAGTTGCCCAACTGACATGTATAGTGTCATCAACTCATTGTAAGTGAGTGCACTCAGAGAAAGGTTTGATTCCTTTATCCTGTCAAAAAGGTCCTCAGCCTTCTCTGTGAGTTTTGATGCGGCATAAGAGTGAAGAAGAGCAGTATATGTCTCACAAGTTTTTGCAGAGGGAGGAAGACCTTCAAAGTAACGCTCAGCAGCATCGACGCCAAAGACTTTGGTCATCAAGTCAATGCAGACAGCATAGTCAGAGTCAGATAGTTCAAACTCGTCATGTGCAACCATCCATTCAGATATCTGCAACATTATTTTCAGATGCACGTGAGCATTTACATAGAGGAAAAAAATAAGAATGATGGACAACGCCTATGAAGATGAGCTAAGAATTTTCTTCTCCATGTCTATGTGGTTGGATGCCAAACAATGTACCTAAAGCCTTCTCTGATGCCAAGAGACATATATATTACGAGAGATAATTCATGAAAAGCATCCAAGAGTGAGAGAATGTGCAAAGAAGATGAAATCATCTTAGTCCTAATACCTCAATAATCACAATTCAAAATGAACAACTGAGGCTACAACCAACTAAGATAACATGTTTTTGCAATTATGGTTACTTTAAGGGTAAAAGGATTTGAAGAACGATATTTTAATGAACTTCAGCCTGTGTGTGGTCTTGCAGTCAGTTTAAAGCAAGAACCACAGAGCGACTACTCAGAGTAGTATAAATCATATGACCTAATACGCGAGTTCACATGTAATAACAGTCTAATGTATGGATCTGATAAAACAGTATAGCTTTCCTATTTTCAGAGTTCTCAAAATGAAGAATACACATCAGGCAGATATGCTAAACAAGAAGGCAAAAATAGGACCTTGTGATAATAATGAACCACTGCCCTAAAATCAGTCATCTCCTATTGATCATCCAGGAACAAAAAAGTCAGGCAAATTACCCATTAGGTGGAACTTCTGAATGGCACATTATTCCGTCATAAATGATTTCTTTAGGGCCTTAAGTTGCTTTTCAATATCAGGGGGAAAAAAAGCCTTGATGAGGTCCTTATCCTGTATTTTTTATAGGTTAAATGGTAAATTACCTCTTTGACATTACAATACTGCATGCCTGCCAACTTGAGCTACCTGCTTAACATTCTGTACTATTCACTGGCTCTGAACTTCAATGTAAAAGGTAAAAGTGAATTGAGACCAGCTAGAGAAGGCACGAGCAATCCAGTTAAATAAATCCTAAGAAACATCTCAACTTCTACGTTCAATCCCACCCTAATGGTTATACATCTGGTTCATCGATTGATCGATCTATTAAATGAATATAATGCCAATGGCTTCAACTTTACAGATGGAATTCAAGTGCTCCAGTTGGTTTCTACCTATATGATGCCAACGCCGCCTTCAAATTCATATCAAATTCCCCAGAATTACTAACCACCCTTTTCCCATTCAACAAATGGACATCAATCAAACCAAGAAAATAGAAAATCAAACCCAAAGTTTCTCTCTTTACACGACTAAACAAAAAATGCAGTTTTTTTTTTTTAAAAAAAAAAAGAAAAGAAAAGAAAAGGGGAAACTTTAGGCAGGCTATTAAAAAAAGAAGAAGAAAAAGGGGGGATGGAACCTCGAGGGCGTGCTTATAGCGCTGAGATTTACGAAGGTCTTTGGAGATTTGACGGAGGTCGGAGATGGTAATCCTGTTGCCCTCACTAACCCATCTATGGAGGACATTGGTGGCGCTTCTTTTGGGGAGCCTAAGCCTCGTTATTCTACTCTTCAAATCATCATTCGTCGTAGTTTCTGAATAAGAATCAGAACCCTTCTCCTCATCTGCTTGATCACATGCTACAACTTCAACTTCGCTTGTAGAAGGAGAAGGAGTAGAGAAATATCGCATCGCAGTCGTCCTCCGCCTTAGTTTACTGCAGACAAGAAATTTTTTATGGGCTAATTTTTTCAGCAAAAGGGATGGAAAAAGGATGAAAGGAAACTGAAATACAGATGGAGATGGAAATTGTTAGTTGTTACCGAGCCATAGTGAGGAAGATGGAGCGGGCGGCCATGGCAGCTCGCTTCACTGCTTGCTAACAGTTGCCCATGAAATGAACTTAACAGAAAACAATTCTAATTAAAAAAAAAAAAAAATCAAATCATCATTTTTGTTGGTTGGGTTGAGCCCTTGTTGGACTAAAATAATAGAATAGAAAAATTGAGAGAATAGAAGAAGCAAAACAACAGTCTGTCAGAAGTGGGATTTGAACCCACGCCCTCTCACGAGGACCAGAACTTGAGTCTGGCGCCTTAGACCACTCGGCCATCCTGACTTGTTTGAGAAGTTCGCTTGAACAAAAAATATTGACGTATTACACCGTTCAGAGCCTGAAATTTAATGCGCAATCTCAAGGAATGACCCTATTTCCTCCGTGACTTCTTTTGTGTACTCATAATTATTAGGGATAATTTCATATACCTCCCTGACAATTTCACCAACTTTTCCTGAAGTTTGTAAAATTACACAAACTTCCCCTAAAGTTAAGGTTTTGATAATAAAATTAGTCCAATTAAAAAAAATTAACATTAAAAAGTACTTTAACGAGAAAGATGAAACTACAATTTGGATCTGATTCGAAGCAAGAACTTCGTAATTTAGATATATGCAAATAGGCATAATGACTTTAACGTGAAAAAAAAAAAAAGATACTGAAGTATGTAGAGTATTAGATTCTTGTTGGAGAATTTGCATAGATGTGACTATCCCAGTTAATTTTTTTATCCTTTAATTTTTGGTTAGTTAGATTTTGCAATATCCTCTTGGGGAGTGATTTTCCTTCTATCGTAGACCAATTTTACTATTTAATTCAAATTCAGGGTGCGGAAAGTCAAAACAAGGACTGAAGTTAGAGGTTGCACTTAATGAATGCATGACCATTTGTAAGTTGGTTTCATCTACTGGGCAGCGGGCAACTTGTGCCGTAATAAAAAACTTAGATAAAAAACAAATATTTGTGTGATTGTACAGAAGCTTGAATTTCTTCATTTTTCATTGTAAGCACAAAAGACAGCTACAATGTCCCAATTCAAGCAGATAACCTTCAAAGCAGCCCTTCCTGGAGTAGAAGCCACAGGCTTCCTATTCACAAACACCAACTGAAACATGTATGGTATGCCACTAATAACGCCAATGATTCAAGTACAAACGGACCCTAATTCTACTTCCTTCTTCTTTTTCTTGATCTCTTGGAGTTCGCCGTAGAAGTAAGAGAGGAAACCCCAAAGAGACAAAGCAAGAGAAATTCCTTTTTCAACTGGGAATCTTTCATGGAAGAACAATACCGCTAAGGACTCTGTCACCGGCAGCAGAGTAGCAATTACGATACCAGAGAGCAATGCTGAGACAAGAAAAGTGACTCCAATGGCCCCCAAGAGGAAGAATTGCCACAAAAATGCGTTTGATACCAGCGTTGCATAGTATCTTGATTGTCCAAGCTCAAATTCTCTTGCCTCTCTTGTAATTGCCTGCAACATCAACCAGAAAATTCATATTTCCAGTTAATTCAACCACAAAAGCACAATGCTTTGATGCTAAATACGCCTTGATCTATGTAGATAAATTAATGCATTATGTACAGATAAACATGTAGAGCTAAAGAGAGAGAGAGAGCCCGCGAAGTCATGGTTGATAAGCATTCCTACAGTGCAGAATGCAGTTGCAAAGAAGGATAGGACCAACTGCATCTCCATGACCAGAGAATAAGTGATGACTTGCTTAGCTTTCTTGCAAGTTAGCTCCATCAGCGGCAAAACAAATCCGTATAACGCAGATGCTCCAAGTGTCATAAAGAAACCAATGTAGTATTGCACGTTGGAATCATGAGCAGGACGATCGGTGCTAGAATGAACTACAGCACCAAGAGACAATAAAAATATTGAATTGATGATAAAAGGTGTAAACTTTTGCTTAACCAGGAGGAAGGCAAATGCGGCAGTAAATGCCAATTGAGTGGCAATTATAAGAGCAGAGGTACTGACAGGAAGGCGCGAAACGCCATAAGCAGCCAAATAATCATCCACCCCTGTTAAAAGGCCAATAAAGGCACAACAAAGGAACAATCTAGGCTTGACAGACCAAACTTTTGTTGCAGGACCTTCTTTGCTTCTACGATAAGCATAAGAAATCAGGAGTGGAAACAAAAGAAATGGCCAACCAGCAGTTAGTAACCAGCATGAGAACCAAATTCTCTTGCCTCCTTTAAGAAAGTAGAGACGCTGAATCAAAGGACCACCACAGTTGCCGAGCCCCAACATTATGCAGTTCAATATTATGAGTGTTCTCTTCATTGTTTTGTTTAGTTTGTGCTTTTCTTCTGGTACATGACTGCTTGGAACATCAGTCTCCATCTCTAAAGATTGAAATCTCTCTTTCTATTTCTAGAGCTGCAACTGGTTACAAGTATGAGTTGTAAATGGCGTATGACATGGTTAATCCACTGACTAAGGAAACTGGAGAAACTAAACCAGGATAACTTTTTTCTGAAAAGGTAAACCGGGAAATGCAATGTACACTACCACCGTAGGATGAATGAGTTGCAATCAGGAACTTATACTACGAAGACAACACTCAAGACCTGTCATGCTATAAAGATCCAACATTTATAGTAATTTCAAAGTGGAAAAGATTGATTGACACAGGTACACAGACATCTCTTTGGTGTTGATCCGGGAAACTTAAACTTGGCAACAGTTAATGAAATTGAAAAGGTTATTGTGGATGGGAAAATCCAAGTTTTGAATTAACTCAACAAGCTAAAAAAGGGCACAAAAGAAAAGTTCAAAAGGAACAAGTTTGAAGTCAGACTCATGGAACAATGCCACAGAACAACAAGAGCCCATCTGCAAGGCAAAAAATTTATCATATCCAACTAGATAGCAGGCCCCCGGCGAGACAGCAAACCGCTGATTCACACACGGAAGACACAGCAAAGATGCCTCGGGCATGTTTGCCATACAAATTACAATTGTGCATAGAATGATAGAATTCTTAAACTTGATTCCCCACAAAAACATCAAAACCAAATCTGCTAAAAATAAAAAATGGTGATGACCTGATATGCATGCATCATGTAAACCGAAATTAAAAACCCACTAGAGTGCATGGTTCAAAGTCGTGGTCGCGGTCGCGGTCACGGTCGCGGCCCGGAACGTTCCACATCGGTTTCGGCATATCGGTCGCGGTCTCGGTGAGACGCAAATTTTAAAGTATTTAATATTCTAAAAATTATTAATAATATAAAAAAATATGCTAAACAAAAATAATAAAAAATAGCAAAAGAAATGGCCAAGTCAATCCGTCACGGTATAACTCGGCTGATTTCTCATCATGACTCGGGATAACTCGGAGTGACTCGGCCGAGTCAATCCGTCGCGGTGACGTCTCGGCCGATTTCTCGGCTAGTCAAGTATTTCGGTATCGTTTCACCACGGTATCGTATCGGTAAGGGCCGAGACAGTGACGAGTCGTTTCGGTCTCGGCCGAGACTTCGAACCATGCTAGAGTGGGCCTTAACGAATTAATCGAACTGGTTTATTAATTATCACTTGCCAAATTGGGGATGGCTTAAATCATCAAGGCGTTAACCTTTCAACCTCTAACAAATAGACAATCTGAATCATCCGACAGATGTTCAGTCCGATCACCCTGTAATTAAAGTCAGCTGAGGCTAATTAATCAATTTAAGCCCAGAAAACCAGCTGCAACCCTGATATACACACACACACACACACTCCTAAAAATTACCAAAATAACGAACTGGACTGGAAGGCATGACATTAGCAAGAAACATTAAGAATTAAAGTAACTGAGAGTGACCCGAGTAAGAAAAAAGGAGAGCAGGACTGAAATTGAAGCATAGAAAACCTGAGTTGCTTGGGAGAATAATAATTGAAGCAGCAGCCCAAATGCTTCCGGACGAAGAAGTAAGAAAGCAGAGTGAAAGAGTAGTAGTATTATTATAAGGTGCTGAGTAGAATCATTGGACCGAAGAGGGTTTCAACTTTTCATCATTTCTATATATACCACACTCACTATATCCAAAACGCGTTGTCACCGTGCAGATTGCCCAAGATTCCCACACCTCTCGGTGCCAAAAACTCAAAAGAGCGAGTCTGCCGAGATTCCCACGGCATATATACAAAGTTTGTTTTTTATGGGTGAAAATATAGAGTAATATATATACCAGCAACAACGTTTATTTAATTTAATTTTCCTTTCAAAATAATTCTTGCATGCATGTAACCAAATATGAGTCAGTACTCATCAATTGAGCCGGCCGGGATCAGTTCCACTTTGCACCATTTTTCTTTTCACTGTTAGAATTCAAGCCAAGAAAAACTCTCAAGAACCATTCCCTCTCCCTTGAGCCACCCCAGAGACTAAGCCATAGTACTAATTATTATTCGGTCGGGTCTTTCTTTGGGCTTTGTTTAAATCATTGTACATTTTCTTTATAAATCATCACACGATCCAACAGCACACAGAAAAATTTGTAAAGACGAGGGATGAACTAGCTTGTAGCTAGTCTCACTGAGGAGTACAGATTGAGACCTTGACTCGATCCAAGCAGGATTTCCCATCAAGTTTATTGCCTTGTTGCATCTCCAGATACTCCCTGTACTTCATTGGAGCGTACAAACCTGGAATTTGATTACCATGACCGCCGGTCAGCAGGGGAGAGGCCGGGGCAACACATGCGTCGAATGATGGACCATTAACCATGGCTATGGAAATTCTTTTCATTTTGTTATTCACCACTGCTCTGTGCAAAATACTCTTGTATTTCCCGTTGCTCACTATCTGTTTCAATTCACGGGCAATTATATTGGTAATGGTAATAGATAATGAATTTAATCTCGTTCCTTTATAATGAATTTTTCCTTGCAACACAACTTTTGATTAAGAACCACATATAAAAAAAAAATATATTTTTTCCTTCTATGTATAATTGTATAGAACATAAATATGTTTTCATTTCGTGCGGGAAAAAGAATTTGTTAGGGCTGGCCCAGGAAATAGACAAACTAAAGTTAGCACAAATTAGGCGGTATAACCGACCATATAATAGATAGGTGGTAGATACCAACCATATAATAATTAGGCGGTAAAATCGACCATATAATGACGGATAACAAAGCAAATAAAAGACACAGAAGATTTACGTGGTTCGGTCAAATTGACCTACGTCCACGGACGAGGGAGGAGCAATATTTCTACTATGAAGAAGAAATACAAAAGACCGTAGGAAAGTGGTTCCTAGGCCAATAGGCACTTACAAAAGAGTTTAGAAAATATTCCTAAACTCAAAACAAGAGAGCCTAAAATATTTGATTGAATGGGCTAAATGACTCAAGAAGCTAATAGCCCATATTACTCTCTTGAGTTGTGCACCTTAAACCTTCATACGCTTCCCTATTTATAGGAAAACAACGGAAGGCTTTCCTTGGCTGCCATCGATGTGGGATGGAAATGTTTGCCACACAAGTCAAGCCGCAATGCTTGACAATTCAACAAATGCCAGTAGATGCACCTGAGTCTACTGTGGAAGATAGTTCAGAAGAAGAGGAATATTCCATAGCCAGAGATAGACAAAGGAGAGACATTCGACCACCACAAAGATATGCAAATTTAGTTGCATATGCTTTATCTGTTGATTTGTTGAATTGTCAAGCATTGCGGCTTGACTTGTGTGGCAAACATTTCCATCCCACATCGATGGCAGTCAAGGAAAGCCTTCCGTTGTTTTCCTATAAATAGGGAAGCGTATGAAGGTTTAAGGTGCACCACTCAAGAGAGTAATATGGGCTATTAGTTTCTTGAGTCATTTAGCCCATTCAGTCAAATATTTTAGGCTCTCTTGTTTTGAGTTTAGGAATATTTTCTAAACTCTTTTGTAAGTGCCTATTGGCCTAGGAACCACTTTCCTACGGTCTTTTGTATTTCTTCTTCATAGTAGAAATATTGCTCCTCCCTCGTCCGTGGACGTAGGTCAATTTGACCGAACCACGTAAATCTTCTGTGTCTTTTATTTGCTTTGTTATCCGTCATTATATGGTCAGTTTTACCGCCTAATTATTATATGGCTGGTATCTACCACCTATCTATTATATGGTCGGTTATACCGCCTAATTTGTGCTAACTTTAGTTTGTCTATTTCCTGGGGCAGCCCTAACAAACTGGTATCAGAGCTGGTTGTTATATTTTGCAAGACAGGTTCATCTGGTGGGGTCCGTCCATCCTGTGGGGCCCACTCATCCTGTGGGGTCCGTTTATCCGTGGGCTCGCTCACCTTGTGGGATCCATTCATCCCCGTGGGGCCCGCTTATCTCGTGGGGTCCGCTCACCCTGTGGGGCTCGCTCACGAGACTTGCATATTTGTTTAGCCAGTTTTTTGAGACAAACTTCACGTTACAGATTTTGTGGCAACAATGACGATAACAAAGATGGTTGTCGAGAAATTCGACAGGAATGTCAACTTCGGAATGTGGCAGCTCAAGATGGAGGCCATTCTTGTTCAAGACGGAGTTGATCTAGCGATTCACGGAATCGAGAACAAACCAGAAGATGTAAAGGATGCGGATTTCGCCGATATGGATAAGAAGGCCAGATCCAGCATAATCTTAAATCTCTCCGATGAGGTATTGCGTGAGGTAGCAACGGAGACTTCGGCCAAGGCTATGTGGGATAAATTGAAAGCCTTGTATATGAAGAAGACAGTCGAGAATCGGCTATATTTGAAGCAGAGTTTGTACATGCTTCGGATGTCTGAAGGTACATCTATACTCTCCCATCTTGATAAATTTGATTCAATTATTATGGATTTGGGGAATATAGATTCGAAAATTGATGATGAAGATCAAGCCCTATTACTTTTGTGTTCCCTTCCCCAGTCTTTTAAGCATTTCCGCGATACTATGATTTATGGAAAGGAAACAATTTTGTATCGGGAAATTAAATCTGCATTAAAATCTAAAGAGCAGATAGATAGGGACATTACTGGGGAAACTAGTGGGAGTCAAGCCGATGGCTTGTTTGTTCGGGGTAGATCTGAAAAGAGAAACACAGAAAATAGAAGTAGATCCAAGTCCAGACATAAAAATGTGGTGTGCAATTATTGTAAAAAGAAGGGCCATGTTATTTCTGATTGCTTTAAATTGAAAAATAAAGAAAAGCAAAAAGGGAAATTTGTTGAGAAAAATACTGAATCCGCTGAAGCTAGTATAGCAGCTGATGAGAATGATGGAACTATTTTCTGTGCAACGGAAAATAATTTTAGGTCTAACAATGAGTGGATTTTAGATTCGGGTTGTTCGTATCATATGTGTCCCAACAGGGACTGGTTTTCAACATATGAATCAGCTGAAGGTGGAGTTGTCTTAATGGACAACAACGCTGTTTGTAAAGTTGTTGGCAAAGGAACAATCCATATTAAAATGTACGATGGTATTGTGAGGACGCTCACAAATGTTAGACATGTTCCAGATTTGAAGAAAAATCTCATCTCTTTGGGCACTCTTGAGTCTATAGGGTGCAGGTATTCAGGTGGAGACGGAGTTCTCAAAATCACTCGAGGTGCTCTTGTTGTTATGAAGGCACACAGATCTGGTACTCTATATATTTTGCAGGGATCTATTATTACAGGTGCTGCTGCTGTTTCTACATCAACTTTGTCTGATTCTGATTTTACCAAATTATGGCACATGAGATTGGGGCAAATGAGCGAGAAATGCTTATCTATTTTATGCAAACGAGGTCTTCTTGGTAGTCAAAGTATTGGAAAGATGGGACTCTGTGAACATTGCATTTTTGGAAAGCAGAAGAGAGTTAGCTTCCAGTTGCCGGCAGTTCACAGGACCAAAGGAACTTTGGACTACATTCATTCAGACCTCTGGGGGCCTTCTCGTGCTCCTTCTAAAAGTGGTGCCAGGTACATGTTGACTTTCATTGATGATTATTCAAGGAAAGTTTGGGTCTATTTTCTTAAGCATAAAAATGATGTTTTCCTAACTTTCAAGCAATGGAAAGTTTTGATTGAGAAACAAACAGGAAAGCATATTAAGCGGTTGAGAACAGATAATGGCATGAAATTTTGTGGAGGTGAATTTAATGAATTCTGCAAGAATGAAGGAATTGTTCGGCATCACACCGTCAGGATGACGCCTCAACAAAATGGTGTGGCTGAACGTATGAACAGAACTCTTTTGGAGAGAGCAAAATGTATGATCTCCAATGCAGGGTTGACAAACGACTTTTGGGCAGAGGCGATCAATATGGCCTGTTATATTGTCAACCGTTCTCCTTCTGCATCTCTTGATTTCAAAACTCCTGAGGAAGTTTGGTCAGGTACTCCTGCTGATTACTCCAATTTAAAAGTTTTTGGGTGTCCAGCATACATGCACGTGAATGATGGAAAATTGGAGCCTAGGGCTAAAAGGTGCATTTTTCTTGGATATGCTTCTGGAGTGAAAGGATACAGATTATGGTGTCCTGATCCCAAATCCCCAAAATTTGTAATCAGTAGATATGTTACTTTTGATGAATTGTCTATGTTATCTCCTAAGAAGGAGTCTTCTAGTCCTTGTACTACTGATAGTACACAGAAGCAGGTGGAGCTTGATATTGGCAGTTCTGGTCCTTCTCAGACCAAATCTTCTATTCAACAGAATTCACAAAAGCGCTGGAGGAACCTTAAAAGAAATTAATCCCCTCAAATTGAATGATTGATGATTTTACCTCAAGCTGGTCACCGGTATTGACCAGAAAAGAGTTTGGAAGCGCATTGACATTAACCCATGTCCCATTGTGTTGGATTTGCAGCCCTCCCACTCCATTTTGTAGGAGAAGGGTGAGGAGACCATGATCCGAGTGCGGGGCTATGCCCATTGCTAGCTCAGGCTGAGGACACGGCGGATAGTAATTTGCTACGTATATCTGCACAGCTGAATCGAAATCCAGTAATTTTGCTATGTATCCTTCTTCTAGACCAAGGCTTTGTGATATTCCTCCAAGCAATTCCCTCGCGACTCCTCGAGTTCTCTTGGCGTATTCCTCCAAAAGTTCACTACAGCAGACCATCGCCCCAACTACCGCTTAGATTCCAAACCATTTACGGTAATTATATTAAGAAAATTACTGTTGATTGCAAATTTACTTTACTACTTAATGATTATAGTAATTATATTAAGAAAATTAAGAAATAATAAGTGAATTTGGACTAAATTCGATCCGAATCAGATAGATATTAACTTCACATGTATTAGTCCGAAACTCTGAATGTCTTACTAACTTAGGTGTGAGCTAAGCCTGAATTTATTAAATCCCGCCTCAGATGACTCAGTTTACCACCCTAGTTTGTGATGCAAGCAAATATTTTTTTTGACAAATAATTCCTATCCAAATAATAATTTTAACCGACTATACTTAACTACCAGTAGTTTTTTTTTTAATAAACCATTTTTTTTAATCTTCTTATCCCTATATATGATCCCTTCGTATTGTAGTATTTCTATCCTCGATTTTAGGCACTTTTGCAACTCTTTAAAACCTAAAACCATACAAACAATTGATTGAGTTTTATGGTACATGTTTGTAAGTTTCAAAGTTACATTGATTGAGTCTTGGGTAAAGTACATAAAACCCCCCTGTGGTTAAGGAAATTGACACGAAACCTTCTCATTGTTTAGAAACTCCCACTTAACCCCCCTGTGCTTTGGACTTGTTTGGATTTTACCTGCTAACCGGCTGCAAAGCTAGCGAGTGATATTTACGCGACTTAATGGTAACTTGTGTCTAGCAGAAACTCATTTCATTCCAATTTTGTCCTCCATGTCTCTTCCAAACTTGCACCCACCATAGTTGTAGATCTGCAAATGAAAATTTTCGACAAAGAGATGCAAAACGAAGACCCAAAAACGTAAAGAGCTCAGCGCAACTTTGGATGGATCAAGAAAAGCTTTGGAGGGGCTAAATCAGCTATCATTTGAAGGAAGGACCCAAAAATGTCAAACTCCCAAAATTTTTCTTGGCTGTCGGCCCGCCACCACCTTTGTCTTTGTCATCGTCATCGTCGTCCGGGGACGGTTTGAAGAAGACGGAGGAGGTGAAGGAAGAGGACTTGCAGAAAATACCTTACCTCAAAGCAGTGTTTCACTTTAGGTGGACACCTCCAATATTAGGTGCAATTCTACAATGTGGATTCATTGTTTGAAACCCAAACGAGCAACTGGAATTGGGTTTGTGAGATGAAAGAAAAAGATGAAGAATAATGGTATCTATTGGCCCCCAAAACCCAATAGCTTTTCTTCTATGAACCATTTGAAATTTCGTTTCCTCGCCCAACAAGCAAAACAAGTAGTCGCGGCTTGCGTTTTCTGTCGAGAAACCAATATGGGTTGGACTTGGAGCCTCCGATAATGTGACGGTGGCAGAAAGGGGCGGTTCCATGCAGGAAACCAACAAATTCCAGATGGGCTTGTTGACTTGGGACTATTTCTGGTAACGGGATTTGTCCTATTGCACTCACGGGGTAAAAGGGGAAGGGCTGCGTTGAGTTCGATCCGTCAGTGCTTGGGCAGGCAAGCTTTTTTGAAGGAAGAACCCAAAATGTCAAACTCCCAAAATTTTTCTTGGCTGTCGGCCCGCCACCACCTTTGTCTTTGTCATCGTCATCGTCATCGTCGTCCGGGGACGGTTTGAAGGAGACGGAGGAGGTGAAGGAAGAGGACTTGCAGAAAATACCTTACCTCAAAGCAGTGGAGTTGGAGGGTTATGTAGTTCCCAAGAATGCTACTGTGAATTTCATGGTGGCTGAGATGGGTTGGAACCCAAAGGTGTGGGAAAGTCCTATGGAATTCAGGCCTGAGAGATTTTTAGAGGAAAAAATGGCCGGGGACAATAGCGAAGGTCAGCTGTTCGATGTTACTGGGAGTAAAGAGATAAAGATGATGCCATTTGGCGCTGGGCTAATTTGATTTGGCATTTCGAGTGGAGAGCTGTTGACGGTGACGATGTTGATCTCTCGGAAAAGCAAGAATTTACCGTCGTCGTTGCATCTGTAACTTTTCACATATTATATATGAGGGTATTTTTGGTATTTCATATTATTACAGGTTCCCCAGCCGGTTAACAGGTAAAATCCAAACAAGTCCAAAGCACAGGGGGGTTAAGTGGGAGTTTCTAAACAATGAGGAGGTTTCGTGTCAATTTCCTTAATCACAGGGGGGTTTTATGTACTTTACCCTTGAGTCTTTTGTCTGTAAGTTTTGAAGTTGCATTTATGTGATGTTACAAGTTTCAATTTTTTTTTTTTTTCTGTTGATCAATCAGCAGAGGAAAACACACACTAATCCCAATCTAACACATATTAAGAGAAGGCCCAACTGACCATGGATGTCTAGAAGTAGAGAAATCCACTTTTAGACAAAAGGATTGCATTATTGCACATTCTTTAGATTTGATAGAAGTCTTATTACTACAATCCTTAGATTTAATTGCGAAAGGACTAGCTAAAAGTGCATTATCCCAGTCAGAAAATTTAAATGGTCCACTAATTGTGCATAATGTGTGATTAACGTCATACTCCACCCAGCACCCACTTAAAAAAGTGGGTGTTTTCGGATCATGCACGTCAGCAACCCAACCCACAATGGTTATGGTGCCTACCCAATCCTCTTGATTTCGTCTAGAAAACAAATTTTGTCAAGTCACACTCAAAAACACACATGATTTAAACAATAATAATAATAGTGGTAGAGAATTCACCAGAAATACTTGCCTTCGTACCAGCATTATTGGTGCTAAGAAATTGACAAATGGTTGGCGATAAATAAAGGGAAAACTGCATAGTAATATTTGCATATCCAGAATCACGGAAGCGTTTGCCGAGGCACACTGATGTTTTGAATTTTGACAAATTTATGAACTTAGAGATTAAAAATCTTTTCAATTATGCTAGTTGACCAAATTACCGTAAGTTTTTTTTTTTTTTACTAAAAAAAAAATGACATGAGTCGTCCAGATGGAGAGAATCATATGCACCTGAAAACTCTGGGGCTACGAGGACAATGAAAGTCAGGATGGACGAAGACCTTGAGGAAGTCCCTCCACAAGAAGATTTGCTCTTTGGAAGCATTGAAGCTGGTGCCATACCTGATGGGATCCAACACATGCTTAGTTTCATATCCCATCTTTTCCTCCTCCGCCAAGTTGAAAAACTCGTTGGTAACATCAAATATGGCATTCATCAGACTTTCTGGTATGCCATGATTCACCACCTGCACGCGCTGTCACATACTATATAGTATCACCCAAACCAAACCATGCACAAGCATGATATATTTTGCAGTCCTACTAGAAACAAAAAGGGGAGTCAGACTATCCAGAATTTCAGGTGTCCTGCCCCTACCAAGTAGCTAGGAATCCAAATTCTCAAGTAGAAAAAAAAAAAGAAGAAGATAAAAACCCCCGAATAAGAAGTAAAGGGAATGATCCAGCAGCAGTTACCATGAAGAAGCCCCAATCTTGGCATGCTCTTCCAAGGTCACGGATAGCTTGAAGACGCTGATCAGGATTGTTGGAGCTAAGGAGTGAAAAATCGATGACGGGGATTGAAACTTGAGGGTCTGAAGCAATAGACTCATGGGGGTGGGTGTTGAAGTAAGCATAACTAGAAGGGATGGAATCGAGGCCTGGTGATTCTGCTAGTAGTTTAACGCTTGAGAAATTATCTCGGGGTTGAAGCAGTGGCGCCACTGATGAGGTCATAGCATAGCTTCAGTTGGGAGGGCAACAATTAACGATGAGGTGCCTGGGAAATTTCTCTGAGTGGAAACTGATGAATTGGGAATGGATTTGTTAAGACTACTAGCAGTCTAGTACATGATTGTTTGGTAGTGGTTGGTCTTTTTAATTGACGCCGAGGGCAACGAGACCCCTGATCTTTGTGCTTTTTATCTTTTTCACCCTTTTTTTTTTGGTGTCTTCAAATCCTTAAGTAGGTAGCTCAACAAGAAAGTTTTAATGAATCGAGATCAGCATTCGTTTTGGCATAAAAAGTCATTATAATCTATTCTTTCACCGCGAGGGGAACTGGTTTGGGATTGTATAAGCAATTCATGTAATCATTTTCTAATGTGATAATGTGAGGAGATGGCTCTTGTTAAGACGAACTCCAATGGCTTATTTTTGATTAGTTGAACTTAACAACCATGCTCTAAAAACTAAGCAAATAATGATGATATGCGATTACGTGAATCCCTGCTTCATTATATTAAATGGTGCCTCGAGCTGTTAGTATAAAAGATCACACAACAGAGATAATTTGAACTTTCAAACTAAGTAAATAAGTCACTCAAAAGTATATGACCAAACAAAAGTCCTGAGATTTTTCAAGAGAATTAATCAAACTCAACAAAGCCGAGATCCATGCAAGAAAAGACAGGCGGAAGGGTGAAACTTCGGCTGATCAATCACTGGTAGAAAGTGAAAGGTACGGGAGCAATTTTACTATTCTGATTAGTATACTCCTAACACTTAGAACTCAAGGAGACAGAGGCACGAACCAATAGAACAGATCCTGTTCAAGTAAGGTCGTAGCTTACTCCTAACACTACTAAACTCCCAAATATACTTAGTTAATTTTTTTTTTTTGGTCAACATGAAATTCGTACTTTGAGCTTCTCGCAGTTAGAGCTGTTAAGTTAGTCAAGTAGCTCGAAAGCTCGTTAGAGCTCGGCTCGTTAAGGCTCGAGCTCGGCTCGTTAATTTTGGTTAACGAATCGAGCTCGAGCTCGAAACATGCTCGTTTAGTTAACGAGCCGAGTAAGCTCGACTCGTTTGATACTCGAGTAGCTCGTTAGACCTCGTTAATGAAGGGCATATTTGTCATTTTAGAAATCAAAATTATAAAAATTAAAAATTATAGGTTTTTATTAAGGTTAATTTTCACGAGCTCGAGCTCGAGCTCGTGAAGCTCGACTCGTTTGTGATAAACGAGTCGAGCTCGAGCCACATGTACACTTAACGAGCCGAGTTCGAACACATTTTAAAGCTCGTTTTCCTAACGAGCTCGAGTCAAGCTCGGCTCGAATTAAACTCGAGTCGAGCTCGGCAGCCAAATACTCGGCTCGACTCGGCTCGATTAACAGCTCTACTCGCAGTTGTCTAGCTATCATATTACTTAACTCCTACTTCCTTGGTTTTGGTTATTATTATTATTACTGCTATTATTTTGCTAAAACATGGAATAATAATTATTCAGTTCAAATCAATTTGCCCCTAAAGTGTAAATATGTAGAGACATAGTATAAATAGATTGTGGTGTAAAAAACTAAAAAAAGAATTATTTTTTCGTCAACTGGTTTGGAATGGAACTTGTAAGTCCCGTGGTTTGGAGGGACTAATACAACTTTGAGTGTGCTCCAAGAGTCATTTCTGATGAAATCCGGACCGTCGGAGCCCTTCCCTCCTGTACTTCGTTGGACCATAAGCAGCTGGAGTTTCCGACAGTAGTGGTGCTGGGGTATTGAAGAGGATTGATATTTATGGAAACGTTAATGAATAACCCAACACGAATTAACTCATTAATGTCGCATGCTAAGACTACAACATTGACTCTTTTTTTTTTTTCTGGTACGAATAGAATATTGACTTTGTAGTCAGGGTTCACTATGTAACTGTTCATACAAAAAAGTCTACGAAGAATAGCTCATATAGCCACCATAAAAGGGGTGAAACTTTCTAGTATATTTCAACAAAAGCATAATAGTATTTAGTATCCAAATGATGCAATGGAACCTCAATTGTGCTCGTCAAAAATCTACAAAATTGAAATTGAAATAAGAATATGAAAAAAAAATAAAAAAAACAGTTATGTAGATTTAGAAAAAGATAAGCAAAAGTTAATTTTTTTTACCTTTTGGACACGTATGACAATCATGCCCAAATTCCTTGCATGTGAACACAAGATATAGTAGGAAAAGAAATTAGAGCAAGGTTAATGTGGTCACATCAAGATGAAAATGGGGCAGTGGAAGTGCAAATAATATTACGCTAATTTATTATTATGGAAAAAGTTAAGCGAGAAAAGTCAAAGTACACCTAATTAATATGGTATCATAGAAAATAATCTTCCAAATTAGATGAAATCAGAAATAATAAATGAGTATGACTGAAATTAATAAATTTATTTAGTCAAAGTTTTCAGTTGTATACTTAAGTAAAGAGGAATAATTACTTACTATGAATAAAATCACTTCATTACATAATATAATCATGAATTAATAAGATAGTGTAATGACAAAAAAATAATGAATGGTTTCATACAAATTGGACATTCTATTCCAAGTACAAAGTCATAAAATAATAAATTCAGCATGTGTGTAATAAGAGGTAAAAACAGACATGCAAGTTAAAAAAAAAAAACACAAAGCAGTACATAGGAAATAATTTATAGTTGTTTGAAAACTTAACCAAGAGAAGTCAAAGTATACCTCAATAATAGAATATGATTCAGAAAATTCATTTCAATTAGATGAAACAAGAGATCGCCAATCACTGTCAATAAGATTGAGAAATTTCTTTAGTCAAACTTTTAACCTAAATACTTAACTAAAAAGGAATGATTAATTAATATTAAGCAGATCATTTTAGTAGATAAGAAAGTCATCAATTGATCTTGATGGTGCGTTAAAAATATCAAAAATTAGTTATTAATAGAAGTGTCTTGTGCAAATGACATAGAAACTTCCAAAACTATGAAATATGGAATACTTAAAATAGATTTTCAGAAATATACACTTTAATGCAACATGGACCACCACCAATAATAGCAGACTTTAGCAGATGACAAATCAGAACAAAGAACAACTAATAGCAGCAAACTTACCAAATAACAAATCAGAAGAGACAAGAACTACAGGATCGTGCACATTACGGCAGTATTGTTAGACCTGGACCAGTTCGATTGTGAACCTACCTTTTTTTTGAACTAGTTTGTAACACAAAATCGTTTTGGTCAAAAACTAATTCGATTAAATCAGTGACTCAGTTCAACTGATTGACCCGATTTTCAAACTTTTCTTTTTTCTTTTCCACAAATATAATTTGACTTATCTAAATTGTAACACTTTCACTTATTAATAGGAATAAGAAAACGCCACCCACTTAGCATAAATACAATCGTTTTGGTCAAAAACTAATTCGATTAAATCAGTGACTCAGTTCAACTGATTGACCCGATTTTCAAACTTTTCTTTTTTCTTTTCCACAAATATAATTTGACTTATCTAAATTGTAACACTTTCACTTATTAATAGGAATAAGAAAACGCCACCCACTTAGCATAAATACCAAAATTATTCGCTTTCCTGAATGATCTTTAAATTAAAATGTTTTCATTCCTATGATTTTATCAATTTAGCATCAGTAATTTTAACTTGCATTAATTTGTTTTAATTTAATTTTTCAAGTAATTTTGGAGAATGGACCTATTTTAACTATGAATTTACATTTTTATATATAATTATTAGGTGTATATTTGATTGCAAGCCTAATATTTTTGGAACATTTTATATGATTGGTCGAATATGACCAAGAATTTAATTTCAAAATTTTTGAAAATTATAAAAATATAAAAAATTATGATATCACGTTGATGTTAGCGAATTATTAAGAACGATCCGATCAGTTGGCCCCCGACCCAATAGTTTAGTTGAGTTGCTATCCGGTCTGAGTTTAATAACATTGCAATACGGGAAGAACAAAAGAAACAAGTGGTCATTCCAACAACAACAGGAAAAGGAAAAGGCTGATAATCATGTACGCCTGAGAATACGAACAATAATAAACAACATAAGAACTAACCAGGAAGAGACAGATTTCTTGTACATCAGCTGCAGCAAAACGTCCGGACAGAAACTCAAAAGACCGGTTCCCTAATTTACTTGAGCATGAATGTATTTTATACTCATTCATCCGACCATTTGATGAAGCACACCAATTCATCAGGCTCATGCGAAGAGAACACGCAGCAGCAAGGAAAGAACAAAAATCCACCGCACCGCTAAATTTTTAATTGGAAACTGAGCCTGAGAAAAATGCAGTTTTGATACCCGAACTTTAACACGAGCAGTTTTAATTTTCAAATTTTGGACAAAAACAAATCTAGTACCCACTTTTTTAACTATTGAACGCATTTAATACCCTTGACGGATTTGTCCCGAATTACTACCGAAAAAAATTATGTGATAGTCATATGTCCGGTAACTATTGTATAAAAAATGCCAAAAAAATGTAAAATTTTCTTCTGACATTAAGTTATCACGTAAAATATCCTTTTGCTACTAGATACTAAGTTTAAGGACTAATAATTTTATCAATTAAAATATTCTTCTGACACTAAGTACTAAGTTTAAGAACTAATAATTTTATCAAAAGGATATTTTACATTTTTTGGTAATTTTTTTATTAACAGTTGCTAGACACGTGACTCTCACGTAGCAATTTGAAAAAAAATTGTTAAGAGTACTAAATGTGCTTAAAAGTTGAATCGTACAAAGTTTGAGGACTAAAAATGCTCATCTGTCAAAGTTTGAATATTAAAACTGTATTTTTCTCGATTGAGCCATGTCATAATACAGCGGCTGTCTGAAGGAGCTGGACCAAAGCAAAAGACCATAAAGTCAACTCTATTTGTTGTGGGTAATTAAAGTGAAATCCAAGGGTCAGATGGTCAGGAAAGAGGCACTAATCAATTGCAGCCAAAAATATGTGCAATCGTAGCAAGCCATCAGCTTAAAATGTATATGAAATGACCAAAGAATCCACACACTAATGGTGTTGATAGGGGACAAAAGTCAGTATTCATCGTCTGCTACTTTGTACGTTGCACCTGCACATATTCCCCGATGACTGTGGCACGTTCATCAGGACTACAAGTTGAGCTGAGCAGGGAGAAATGATTAACGACGGGTAATATTGAAACTTCAGGGCATGTTTGAATTGATTCGAATTCGATAGTCCATGAGGTGAGATGAGCACAATCGGAAGGGAGGGACCTGAGATCTTGGTTATGCCATTTTCACCGACGGTTGATTTTAAGCCAGAAAAGAGAATTGCAAAGCAATACAGGTTTCTGATGGAACTACTTATAGAGGGAATGAATCATAGTACACTGGCCGACTTAAGTAATTAAACATAATCGTTGATTCCTTCTAAAATGGATAAAAGAAAAACTGTCTTGCCGTCTAATGCGCCCCCCCCCCCCCCCCCCAATTAGGGTAAATATGATCTCTTAAAGACGGGGAAATATTATTATTAGTTTTAGTAACATATTGGGCCACTAATTTTTCAGTCACTTCCATCTGTATACACTTTTTACGTCACGTTTTAGAGTATTGATATTACCCAAGAACAAAAGCATAATTTACTTATCTTTGATAGTACCAGAAGATCAACGAATTAAGAGAGTATAATACTATTGATTTGTAGTCACGTTTCATTCTATAGTTGTTCGTCTTCATGGAACTGTAAATTCAAATGGAATCTTGAATCTAGAGCACAAAATGTAGTGTACTTGGATACATTGGAAGAGCTGCCCAGGAAGGCACGAAACAGGCGCCCGAAACAAAGATCATAAGCAGCTCATTATTATATATATGGGGCATGCAATTAGTGCAACTTGAGCTGTTCCAAGGTGGGCTTCTGATTAAGTCTGGAACTTCGTTGCAGCTGCACATATTCCATGTACTTCATTTGACCATATGCGGGTGGAGTTTCGCGCAGTAGCGGTGGAGCTGGTGTGACAATGGTGTCGGGTGATGGACCATTGGCCACCACCAAGGAAATTCTTGTCTTCTCGTTATTCAAAACGGCTCTGTGCCAGACGCTCTTGTACTTTCCGTTGCTTATTATCTGTTAATGACCATCAAATTCACAAGTATAACATCAGTCTCTTCTTTCTGATTGATTCACGTTGTTCTTTTTAATTTTTTCCTTAAATATCTACATGTTCAAACTATATAATTCGAACTTACCTCGAGCTGATCCGCAGTGTTGACGAAAATGGCTCCCGGAATGCCAGTAAGATGAAACCACTTTCCCTTATTCTGTACCTCGAGGCCTTCAACTCCATTCTGAAGAAGAAAGGTCAAGAGGCCAGGGTCTGTGTGGGGTGGAATGCCTATTGCTAATTCAGGCTGAGGACAGGGAGGATAGTAGTTTGCGGCGAAGATTTGAGTACTCGAGTCCAATTCCATTGCTTTCTCAATGTAATCTTCTTCCAGGCCAAGGCTTTGTGATATCCCTCTAAGTAATTTCCTCGCCAAATCTCGGGTTCTCCGAGAATATTCCAGTACAATGTCACTACAATAGTAGAGGAGTCAAGGATTTTTTTATGAGCAGAAAATTAGTGTAGCAGTATGCATTAGTCTAGTGATTAAGATTGCGATTAACCCCAAAACTTAAAGGTCTTGAATTCAAATCCCATTTCCACTTCTTAAATCCCATTTCTCGTGCTTCGGATAAAAAAAAAGTGTAGTAGTAATAAGTAAAAAGAAAGAACATCTCTACCTCATTTCTTTGGGTTTAGTGGGACAGTGATACTCTGGATGCACGAAAAACCTCAAATAATCCCTCCATAACTTGACTTGCTGGTTGGAATCAGTGCCATCAATGGTGCCAGACCTGACCATGACGGGATAGAAAGGGTGTTTGCTGTCAAATTGCAACTTGTCCTCCTCCGGCATATCAAAAAACTCATTACACGCATTAAACAATGCACTGATCAAGTTTTCCGGTATGCCATGATTTACCACCTGCATGGATGGAGATACTCAGGCACGTCAACCAAACCATAACTAGCATATGCAAAGAGCAATATTGGTACAACAAGCAAGACTCGTAAGAGAGCATTTGCGCATGGATATTCTCAAGGAAGAGCATATGTGTAAAAGATTCATGATTAATGCTAACGAGTTCAATGGAGAAGAGAAGAGAGTTGGTTAATTACCAAGAAGAAGCCCCATTCCTCGCAGGCTTTACCAAGGTCCAGGATTACTTTGGCACGTTCATCAGGATTAGTTGAGCTGAGCAGCGAAAAATCAATGACGGGAAGTGAAACGTCAGGTCCCGTTTGAATGGATTCTTGGGCATCCTTAAAATGAGCAAAATCAGAAGGGAGGGACTTGAGGTCTTGTGATTGAACAAGGGTTTTAATGCTGGCCATTTTTCAGCAGGATGGTAATTATTAGCAAGCGAGGCTGGAATAATGGCAAAGGAGATCGGAGATTTGAGTCAGGAGTCAGGAGTGGCAAGCATGAACGGAGGATGTGTACCTATTTATGTACAGCGTCGGGCGCTGGACGAATTTGACTGTCAAGTGTCAGGTGTGCGGGGTTTGGGAATTAGTAGGTACCTGAGACAGCATAACATAACATAACAGCCTCCCTGGTCAATAATTTATTCCTATCTCGCTTTGAATTTCATTTTTCAGCTTTGTCCAGCACTAGGACTCATCTAGAATTCTAGATACTGATAATTTCGAATGGCCGAGACGGAAGAGTATATATTTAACAAACAAAAAACTGCAAAAAAAAAGTTTTGTAGGGAATCAGAAGCAATGAGCTCACTCACTTGTTGTATGATGTATCCCTCACAGTCACATTGTCGATGGGTCATCAAGCTGGTAGGTGAGATTTTATTAGTCTCATCCATCTCTGAGACGTGACATGTTTTTAGAGAACAAATTCCAGGCCAACAAAGGCGTGCTTTGAATTTTGGGATTTTTCTCCAACCAAGAAAAACCGAAAATTTTCGTAAGGAATTGTTCAATAACAAAAGAGAAACGTACCTAGTCTAGTAATAAAGTGCCACTTTGTTTGTGACTAGAAGGGGTGATTGTCAGTTTAGGTCGAGCAACTCGCGTACGAGAGGCTTTCACAATAAGGGTCCGATTAATGCAGGAGGCAATTAGAAAATGTCAAAAATGGAAAGCTGTATTTCTGCATCCCGATTTTAGGTTTGTAGGTCCCTCCATACACCCATTCTAGAAGCAACGTAACTCAATAGCGGTTAAAAAAAATGGATCATAATTGGTGTACTATCGTCAACTTTGATCAAAGTGCGAACCCAATTCGCCGGCAAGCGCAATAGAATAATATATAATTCCTCGAGTCAATTAATTTCACTCTCCACTCTTTAACTAAAACTTCCCTGAAAAAAAAAAATAAAATAAAGAGTGAATGGCCCAAAAGGTCACTAAACTATTAAAAATAGCACCTTCTGGTCACCAAACTTTTTTTGTGGCCGAAAAGGTCACTAAACTCGCAAAAACTCTCCGGCGGAATCATTTTATCAAATTTCAACGGTTCCTCATCCGGTGGCATGGGCAATGTGGAGTGGAGGAATATAGTAAAGGGGCAAAAATGTCCAACAAAATATGGTAAACCTGTTTTTCCCTCAAAAGACGTGCCTTAGATCTAGAAATTCGGTGACTGCTCAGATGTGGCAAGAGTTGTAGATTAAGATGGATGAATTATCTTCGGCCGGGCATCAAGAGAGGAAACATCACAGCAGCTGAGGAGGACCTCATTATTCGACTCCAATCCCTGCTAGGCAATCGTTGGTCACTCATAGCTGCAAGATTGCCTGGTTGAACTGACAATGAAATAAAGAACCATTGGAACACTCGTCTGCTTAAGAGACTCCACAAAGGAGGAATCCAGCCCCAAAATAGAATTGATGGCCCTTAAGAAGCAGGGAAAGGGCCCTGAAGTCGAGGCCTACCGCTATAGAATTGATGGCTCGGCTGGTGCATTCCTTGAGAGTGGCATCCAAAGATCGGAGCTGTGGATCGGCTTGGCAGGCGGCTTCGTAGGAGCTCAGATCCGGAGGCAACATCGTTAGCTTTTTCCCCATTACTACTACTATGGTTGCTGTGACTGGAGTTGCTGCCTTCTCGTTGCGGTGGGGTGAGCGTGCTCGGTCCCTTGGTTTTGCTAAATTGACTACCCATTTGAAAACTGGATGAATCCCAACTCCGAATCAGCTGTTTTTGCGTGTCTGTGTCTGTGAAGGTGTTTGCGGAGGAGTTTACTACTGTTTTTGGGTGGGTTATTTTCTATTTTCATTTGGTTTACAGGCAGTCACAATCACCCTTTTTACCGCCGAAGAAGATGAAGTAAATCTCATTAGGTTGGTGGTTGGTCAACTTTGGGAATTAAACAATCTATTGTTCCAATAGCCTTTTGGACATTTTTGCCCATATTAGAATATTCGTTCAACCCAAGTGCTTTTGTCACCGGGTGAGAAACCGTTGAAATTCGGTAAAATGACTCCGCCGGAGAGTTTTTGCGAGTTTAGTGACCTTTTCAGCCACAAAAAAAGTTTGGTGACTAGAAGGTGCCATTTTTAATAGTTTAGTGATCTTTTGGGCCATTCACTCTAAAATAAAAGGACTATACTTAAACTTGGCTAATTCCTTAGATTATACCTGCAAAAAATAACCCACGAATTGTTGCTCTGACAAGTTGGTCTTCCTAAGCTATTGTAATAAGCCCGGCAGGATAGAATTTTTTTAATAAACTCTGACGCTACCCTCGATCAAATCCAAAAAAAAAAAAAGGCTGCCCTGTTGTTTGCAGAGGTTATACTTGTTTTGCAGGAGTAGGATAGGATAGTTTTGTAGGATAGAAACACGAGCCTTCCTCCCCATCCATGTCCGCTCTGTCTCTCTCTTAGGTTAGTACTTCGCATTAAGTATTTCTTTTCCATTCTATACCCTATTTTTTGGGGTAGATTTTTTTTTTGTTTTTGCAATTAAGTATTTTTTTCCATTTTAACATTTAGCAAATATTTATTTATGTTTTTATAAAAAAAAGTTTGGGTGATTTTGCTTTTGTTCACCACCACGTTTTAAGGCAAATCTGTCAATTCATGAGTCACAACTTTTTTTTTTTAACAAAAAAGTGATTCATGTTTACCAACGGACCGACATGTATTGACAATATCTAACTAGACTAAGAGGTCAGTTGAATTGCACTTCTTGAAGAGTTTATGGGAAATAATTACTATAACATATTTTTTTAAGATGTAATATATGCGAGATAAAAAAATGGTTACAAAAAGTATATAAAAGAAATATTCATAAAAAAATGTAAAATTTTTCCACAAAAATTAACAATCAAAATAAGGGCTAAGCCATTGGATAAGTATTAGAAGTCAACACATGTTGGCTCACTTAATAAGAAATGACAACATCCTTTGAAAAATTGCGTACTTAAATTTTGCTACTGAAGATTGTGAGAAATGTGCCGATGGATAATATATAAATATTCAAACTATTTTTACAAAAATAAAAAAAGAATAAGTAGTGATAACGTTTCATGTACAATTCAAGCAATAAGTTAAACTTTTGCATGACATGACAAAAAAAATAGAATTTATTTGTTTGTTTGGAAATCCGGTTAGTTGAAAAAAATTTAAGGAATAGCCTAACCCGATTTTTCGCCCATTCCCAGCACATGTTGCTCATTCTTTCCAATTTAGCAATTGGGAGGCCTTTGCAAAAGCTTTAGCAAATGGGAAGATTGCCTGCCGTGTTTGTTCTTTACCTTTTTGGGGAAAAAAAAAAACCTTAAGGCAAGCACGGCAGGTTTGGTTGTTGCAATTATTGGCCAACTATTGGCTACCGTGGGCTTTTTCAATAAAAAAAAAAGTGTAGGTTACCTGCTATGTTTGGTCAGCACGGTAGGTATAGTATGAGATATCAAAGTAACATTTCATAGAATTTTTTTTCAACTATAATTTAAGGAATTAGCCGTTAAACTTTCAGTTTAGTCTTTAAACTTTAGAATAAGACGCTTTAATCTCTAAACTATCAAGTCTATTTCACTTTAGTCCCTAAAGTATATAACTTATTCCACTTTAATCCTTAAAATATAAAATTACTTTTATTTTTGTCCATAAATTATTTTCACTTTAATCTAAAATCTGTTCCACTTCCTCGACAGTCTTACTTAAATGGGATAAAATTTATAATTCAGGAACTAAAGTGTTTCATTTCAAAGTTTAAGGACCAAAATGAGTGTTCGGGGATAGTTAAATGGTGCAAATTGGAATTAACTCTGATTCCCCCGAAGAGATCAATTTATTTGCTCGCTTTCTAGGATCAAACCGCCTTTACCGTGCATGAAGTTGCCCACATATACAAGATACCTTCAAATTGATGAATATGATTGGGGCTGCAGCCCCTCAATCACAAAGACCCTAGCCCTAAAAATCCCGAAAAATCGAATTTCCAAAAGTATGGTTCGAAATACATAGAGTGGAAGACACATATATAAATATATATATATATAGAGGGAGAGAGAAAGTAGGTTAGCTGGGAGGGAGGAGAATCCAAGTGGACGAAAAACTCTTTCACAAAAACACAGTAGTACAAGTCCAATAGTACTTATTTATCACTCACTGTCGTACGAGGAAAAAAAAAAGAAATACATCTATGTTTTTCCTCCAGTGAGTTTTAGTAAGTGGAGGAGGAGGAGGAGCTCGTCAGCTAGCGTCCAATATCTCCCGCCTCGTTTACAAATGTAACAAATGCAGTAACAAGGTGGAAAGAATGGTGGAAGAAAGGTAGCAGGACGACAGGAGGAAGAACAAACTAGTGCAGCTTGAGTCGATCCAAGAGGGGCTTCTCGTGAAGTCTGGTCACACGCTGTACATTCACGTATTCCATGTACTTCATCGGACCGTATGCAGCCGGAGCTTCGCGCAGCAGCGGTGCGGCTGGGGTAACAATTGTATCAGGTGATGGACCATTCGGCACCACCAACGTAATTCTGGTCTTTTCGTTATTCACCACTGCTCTGTGCCACACACTCTTGTACTTCCCATTGCTCAAAACCTGGTGGTAATAATTTTAAGTTCATAAACAAACAAACCCCCAAAAAAAAAAAAAAAAAAACACGCAATTGAAAATTTTATTATTTATGCATTTCTTTTAATCATTGCGTAATTCAAAGCATCAAAGTTTTTTAGCCCATTCTCTCTGCCCTTTTTTTAAAAAAAAATATATATATATTAGGTTTCGTCCATCCAAGAGGTTCAAATTAGAGTAAAACTTGAGCAGTAGTATGCCATCCATACCTCGAGTTGATCGGCAGTGTTGACGAAAATGGAGTTGGGAAGGGCATTAACGTGGAACCACTGGCCTTCGTGTTGGATCTCGAGGCCTCCAACTCCATTTTGCAGGAGAAAGGTGAGGAGGCCATGATCCGTATGAGGAGGAATGCCTATTGCCAATTCAGGTTGAGGACAGGGTGGGTAGTA